AAAAACAAAAAACCAGTAGGAGCACCAGCCGCTCCTCGGAAACCCTACACAGGAACAGTATAAGTCAGAACTGACTAGATGGCACTTAACAACAACAGGGCACCTGTGGCAGACAGGTTTCAGCAGAACTTCCAGAATGAAATAAGATTAGGAAGAAAAAGTGGCAAATACTGATCAGCCACTGACAACCATGTGAATAGCAGCTGAACATAGTGCCAGAAGATTAGCCCCTAATGTTGGAATCTGACTGGGAAAGAACTACCTCCTTAAAGTAGATTTGCCCTTAATGATATGGCTGGAACTAAGCTTTGGGATATTCATTTGCTAATGTCCACCATTCGTCTGTCAGTTCATCATATTGTGGTTGCTTGTGTGTTGCTATGATTCTGGAAGCTATGTCACCCGTATTGTAAATACCAGCAGGATCACCCATGGTGGACATGTTTCGGCTGAGCTTCCAGATTAAGACAGACTAGAAAGAAAGTAGGGGCAGACTACTTCTGAATATTTGGTCACTGAAAACCTTAGGAACAGCAGTGAACACTGTAAGATAGATAGCACAAGAGTATTGAACATTGAAACATGATGAAGAGGACCAGAATATTGTCAGATACAGTGCCCTTCAGGGTGGAAGGCACTCAAAATATGAATGGGGAAGAGCTTGCCTCCTCAAAGTAGAGTTACCCATGATGACACAAATGGAGTAAAACCTTTGGGACATTCATTTGCTGATGGGGCACAACTCAAAACGATGAGAAGCAGATGTAAACATCCATTAATAACTGAAGCATGGAATATGTGAAGTAGGAATCTAGGAAAACTGGAAGTAGTAAAAACGAAATGGAACATTTAAACCTCAATATCCTAGGCATTCATGAGCTGAAATGCACTGGTATTTACCATTTTGAATCTGTCAATCACATGGCTTACCATGCAGGGGAAGAAAAATTGAAGAATGGCATAATATTCATCATAAAAATAACATTTCAGGATCTATCTTGAATTACTACAATGCTGTCTGTGATATAATATCATAGCCTACAAGAAAGATCAGTTCATTAACACACCAACCACTAAAGCCAAAGTTGATGTAATTGAAGAATCTACCAACATCTTCAGTATGAATCTGATCAAAGATGCAATCAAGATGTATTGATGATTATTGGAAACTGGAAACAAAGAGGGAACATCTGTAGTTGGAAAATATAGCCTTGGTGACAGAAATGATGCTGGAGGTCACATGATAGAATTTTGCAAGAAAAATGACTTTTTTAAATAATGAAAAAGTTGCCTATACACAAGGACCTCACCATATGGAATACACAGAAATCAAACTGACTACATCTGTGGGACAAGATGGTGGAAAACTTCCATATCGTCAGCCAAAGCAAATTGTGGAACAAACCATCAATTGCTCATATGCAAGTTCAGGCTGCAGCTGAAGAAAATTAAAGTTAGTCCAGGAGAGCCAAAATATGACTTAAACATAACCCAACTGAATTTACCGGCCATCTCAAGAATAGATTTGATGCATTAGACATTGAAAATGGAGACCAGAAGAGTTGTGTGATGACATCAAGAATATCACACAAGGTCATCAATGAAAAAATAGGGTCAAATTTAAGAGCTCTAATCCAGGGTACACACAAACTATGAAACATTGTGAAAATTACACAAACAAGACAAAATAGATGATTGTGACGTTTTAAAAATTAGAAACTTATGTGCATCAAAGGATTTCACCAAAAGAGTAAAAGGGGAACACATATAATGGGAAAAAATCTTTTGAAATGACATATCAGACAAGGGACTAATTTCTGAAATCTACAGGAAACTACAACACCTCTACAAGAAAAAGACTAATAACCCAATTAAAAAATGGGCACAGGACATGAACAAACACTTCCCTGAAGAAGACATTCAGGCAGCCAACAAACATAAGGAGAAACGTTCAAGATCATTAGCCATTAACGAAATGCAAATCAAAACAATAATGAGATACCACCTCACACCAGCAATAACAGCGAACTTCAAAAATGCAGAGTATGAAAAATGCTGGCGAGGATGTGGAGAGACTGGGACCCTCCTATATTGCTGGTGAGAATGCAAAATGGCTAAGCACTCTGAAAAATAGTATGGCGCTTACTAAAAAGTTAGAAATAAAAATACCATATGATCCAGCAATTCCTCTACTTGGTATTTATCCACAAGAAATACGAGTTAGGGAAAGAACAAACAAAA